CCCTTGTCTATATGGATGATATTATTATATTCTCAAAAACCAGTGAAGATCATAAAATTCATTTGGAAAAGATATTTCAATTATTATCGAAGGCCGAATTAAAACTTAATCCCGATAAATGTGATTTCTACCAAAAACAAATATTATTCCTTGGACATATGATATCAAAAGAAGAAATCCAACCAAATCCCGCTCTCGTGGAAAAGATTAAAAATTGTCTGAGATCAACTATAAAAACTAAAGTCAGATCATTTCTAGGACTTGCCTCTTATTATAGACGATTTATTAAAAACTTTTTAGCAATTGCCAGACCTTTGTATAATTTGACAAAACAAGATGAAGTCTTCAGCTGGACCAAAGACCATGAAAATGCCTATGAGTACTTGAAAAATTGTTTGACAACTCAACCGATTGTAATGTATTCCAATTTCAATGAATATTTTTATCTTAATACCGACGCTTCTAATTATGCCATTGGTGCTGTACTAGCACAAAAAGATGAAAAAGGACATGAAAGAGTTATTGCCTATGCCAGCTGAGTTCTGTCTCCAGTAGAGACACATTATACCGTTACTGAAAAGGAATGTTTAGCCGTGATATGGGCTACCAAACATTTCCATACCTTTTTGCAAGGATCGTCATTTTCCGTAGTTACCGATCATGAAGCTATTCCCTGGTTAAAGAAACATAAAAATCCTAAAGGAAGGTTAGCTCGCTGGATTATTCACCTTTCAGAGTATGAACCCTATACTATAATTCGCAGGAAAGGAAGTAGTCATATCAACGCTGATGCGTTATCTAGGTTAGAAACAAACCCTGTAGATAGTTTATTGACCCTTTTATATTAATAAATTAAATTAGAGTAAAAATTATGGATACAACAACATATCACAATTTGGTTAACTACTTAGAAAAACATAAATATCCACTTAACTACACTAATAAACAACAACGACACTTAGCAAAAATCGCAAATAATTATTTAGAAAGAAATGGCATATTATTTAGGAAAAATAGGCATAATTTAAATATTCCTCTTAGAGTAATATCCTTGCAGGATAAGGATAAATTATTATATAATTATCATTCGTCCCTATTAGGAGGACATTTTGGAATTAAAAAAACTATAGAAAATATCAAAGAAAAATATTATTGGTCAAACTTGGCAGAGGATGTAAAATATTATATTGAATCATGTGACATATGTCAACGAACCGGAAAACTAAATAAGGACCAAACAATAATTCCTATTAAAGTAACAAGACCTTTTGACCAAATAAGAATAGACTTTGTAGGACTATTAAAAGTATCTAGTAAAGGAAATAAATACATAATAGTAGCAACAGATTATTTAACCAAGTGGCCTGAAGTGAAACCAGTAACTAATGCAACAGCAAAAGAAGTAGCCAATTTTCTTTATGAGGAAATAATATGTCGACATGAAGTCCCCTCCAGTATAATATCCGATTGAGAAAAGGCATTCCTCGGGAGGGTGGTGGGATTATTAAAAAAAGAAGTTGGCTTCAAACATAAACTCGCTGCACTATATCATCCACAAACAAATGGCTTGACTGAAAGATTCAATAAAACATTATGTCATTCACTTGGAAGATGTGTAAACTCCGCTACTGAAGATTGGGATGATCTAATTCCCTCAGTCCTATTTACTTACTATACCCTGAAACACTCTACTACAAAGTTTAGTCCCTTTTATTTATTGCATGAGAAAGAAGCTCAATTACCCTTGCACCTAGAATTATCAAGAGAAGAATTTGTAGAAGTTCCTTATGAAGAAGTTTTAAATAGAAGCATTGCCCAAATAGTAGGAACATTTACTGATGCATTAATACTTGCCAAGGATAACATTGGAACAGTTCAACAAATACAAGAGGAATGTTCCAAAAGGATTGAGAAAGCTTCCACCTTTAAGGAAGGAGATTTAGTAATATTATATGATGCTGTCAAACAAAATGTCCATGGTGATAAGTTTACTCAACGATGGACAGGACCCTATTATATCCATAGAAAAATTGGTGGCAAAACTGTAATACTCCGAGATAAAGCAGATCCTGATAAATTAAGTTTACCAATTAACACATCCTTAATTAAGCACTACAAACAAAGAGATTAACAATGTAGCATTATAATCAAATAAGGATGTAAGGCAGTACAAATTAATTACTGATGATCATTTAAAAAAATTATAAATACAAGACCTATTCCTTAAAATTTCTCAAGAAAAACGATGGCATTTTTGCAAAACTTATAACAAAAATTAAAGGACTTATACCGAGAATTTCCTGAAAATATAGAAGAAATTAATATCCAATTGAAACCTGAAATGTTTAAAATTACTATCGCTGAACAAATAATTGAAGTTCCAATAGAAACTGTAAAACGAATTGACTTCACTCCATATCAATTAGACTTGTATAACTTAGAACAAGATTTTGACTTTGGATTATATGTGGAGACTGACCTTAGGAAACTATTACAGTACATTGATAACACTAATAACCCCAATGGTAAAAGATTATTGGCATATTCCTTATTGGAAACAAAAATGAATTCTATGATCCAGAGGAGCAACAAGAAAAAGGTTATTGAAGTTGTAAAAAGGCATACCTAACGGAATGTTCCCCGACTTAGGGAAATTGCAAAGAGAACAAATAAAGTATTAAAAATAACCAACGAATTTCCTATTCGAATGACCACGAAGGTGACCTCTCGCTGGTTATATAGTTTGTCAAAAGGAGAATTTGAGTTATTCCTTCAAAAATGTAGAAGGATGAATAGTTTAGAAAACCATTTCGCAAGAGCTCAAAGCTAAAGGAAGAAATGGTTGTGACGCAATATTTTTATATTAGTTATCTTATTTTATTTTCATATGTATTTTTATTTATTATTTTATATTAGTTATTAGTATTATTTCTTCATTTGTATTTTTGTTTATTAATTGGTTATTATAGAATGTAACACTAATTAGGGAGATGAATATCTCCGATGAATATCTAGTTAGTGAAACATTGGGTGACATGAGATGAATATCCCTGATGATTACCTGAGATAATCACCTCCAGATATTCACCTCTGGTAATCATCTCCTGTCACGAA